AAAAAAAAGAAGGTAAAATGGAAGAAAGTAAAGGAAGTCCAAGTCCTAGGGGTCCCTTACAATCTCAAAACCATCTAACATCTTCAACGTCTCCTCGGCCATAAGAAGAAAATCTCATTTGCCAACAAACCGATTATTAAAAAATAATGATCCTGATCCTACAAACTCGTGGTCAACACGACACGAAAGTTTCCTAGTCAAGAGTTGCTGCTGACTAACCATTGCCACCGCTTCACGTGTACGGAAATCTCCATGGAGCATTATTTTTTGTGCTGGGATTTGGAATGACATTGACCGGAGTAGCATAAACAAGACCAAACTCGTGGTCAACACGATATATTTGGTTATGGTGTTCTTCCCATTATGTACTCGAGTTCATCTTTGACCGAAATTAAAACTCCATTATAAGAAGAACATGGAGCTACATTGCTTCAAGCCAAAATACAAAGAACAAAAAATGGGGGAAAAATGGGCTAGAGGAGCAATTGTAATGTTGGTTTTGGTAACTGGGTGGTATTGTTCTTGTTGTTGTGGGTGTTTGGAGGAAGAGAGAATTGCCCTCTTAAACCTCAAACATTCAATTCGTCCCCCAACTGGCAATGTTCTAGCATCTTGGGAAAGGCATGGTGATTGTTGTAAGTGGGTTGGGATTGAATGCAACATCACAACAAAGAGAGTGATCAAGCTCTCTCTTAGCTCTCTCTTAATAATATTAGGGATTGGAACTTTGGACATTGGTATTTGAATTCTTCTTTGTTTTTGTCCTTCAAAGAGTTGAAGAGTATTTTCTTGCATGGAAACTACATTTTAGGCTTCATGAAGAATGAAGGTCATTCTTTTATTTCTCTTCAAGCAACATTTTAAATTATTCATTTTGTGCGATATATGGTATTAGAATTTTTAGCTTTGCAATACAACTGACTATATTCATTTCTTGCACAGGTCTAGAAAGGCTGTCAAGCTTAAGCAATTTGAAGGTTCTTGATTTGAGTTATAACCAATTAAACAATAGCATCCTATCATCTTTGGCAAGTCTTTCATCCTTAAAAGTGTTAAATCTAGCATTCAATGAGATGGAAGGAAGTCTCCATAATCCAGGTAGTCTTTTATGTAACATAACCAATTAATCTGATATACTTCAAGAAATGAGGCATGATATCCAATGTTAACATCATTATGTTTCTTGAGGGACTTGGAGTTGCTCATTAATTACTTGTAAATGCATAAATAATGCTTATTACTCATAAACCCTGTGTGTAGGTGTTAAAAGACCATTGGGACTAAGTAAATTGGAAGTGCTTTATCTGAGTGGTAATTCTTTCAATAACACAATTTTATCTTCCCTAAGAGGACTTCCATCTCTCAAGATTCTTGATTTGAGCAACAATAAATTAAAAGGACCACTAAATATTAAAGGTAGATTAATTGTTCCACTTGATTTCTATTTTCATCAATCATTGTATATCCTTCTAGTAAATTTTGTTTCTTTTTTCTCATTGCAATTTAACTAATTTCATTTTGTCTTTGTGACTACTAGAATTAGTTGCTTTAAACGAGTTGAAGAAGTTGGATTTAAGCAACAATAGTGTGGAAAGTTTCATGGCTCCCAAAGGTATTAATTGAAGTAGAAAGTATGGTTATGATGAGGCCCTATTATTCTATTCCTTCCATCAACAAGTACACTAAAAGAATTAGAAAACTTGATCCATTACTTTCATACTCATAATTTTTTGATGAAGTAATAAACCTTGTTGCAGGTATTAAAAGAGTATCGAGCCTAAGTAATTTAGAAGTGATTCATTTGTTGGATAATTCTTTCAATAACACCACTTTATCTTCCCTAGGAGGGCTTCCATCTCTCAAGATTCTTGATTTGAGTAGGAACAAATTAAAAGGAATACTAAATATTAAAGGTAAATCAATTGTTTCACTTGTTCTCTATTTTCATCTGTCATTGAATATCTTTCTAATGAAATGATGCTTCTTTTCCCTCACTTTTATTTGACTGTTTGTATTTTGTCTCCACCAGAATTAGTTGCTCTAAACAATTTGAAGGAGCTGGATTTAAGCGAAAATGAAGTGGAAAGTTTTGTGGCTCCCAAAGGTGCATATGATCAAACTAGAAAGTTTGGTTATAACTTATAATGAGGCCTAGTTATTTTGATCCTTTCATCAATAAAAGAGAGAGAGAGAGAGAGAGAGAGAGAGAGAAAAAAGGAAATGCTTACCAATATTTTAGTTTCTCTATTGTACATTATCTCACTTTATCCAAGCTACTAATAACAACTGAATACTTAATCTTCAGATAGTCACACTTTGAAGGAGTTAGAAGTATTGCTTTTGGAGGGATATTCTCTTCATAATAATTTTCTTCAGAGCATTGGAACACTAAATTCTCTTAAAGTTTTGTCTGTGTCCAACTGTGAGCTCAATGGAACTTTGCCTAGTCGAGGTAAAACATATAATCTTCTTGCTAATCCAACATATATATATAATCTTCTCATAAGAAATTTAGAATTTTGATTTTATGTAACAATTCTTCATTATTTTGTTTCTTATCGTTTCTTGTGTTAGTAATTTCATTTTTTTCCTTCCTCAATAACTGATATTTACAGGATGGTGTGAGTTGAAGAACCTTGAAGAGTTAGATTTAAGTGGAAATAATTTTGAGGGAATACTTCCCTCTTGCTTGGGAAACTTGTCATATCTTCATGTGTTGGATGTAACATTTAACCATTTCAGAGGAAATATTACCACCAGCCCTTTTACCAACTTGAAATCACTTGAATATCTCTCATTTTCAAATAACAACTTTCAAGTCCCAAATTCCTTTTCGATGTTTGCTAACCACTCCAAGCTTAAGGTCCTTATGGGCGATGCCAACAATTTAGTGCCAGAACCTCTCCTTCAAACTCCAACTCCAAAGTTCCAACTTATATTTTTGAGTTTGTCTTACCTTGCATTAAAAGAACCTCCCTACTTCCTCCGTCACCAAAATGTCGCTAGGGCTGTTGATCTCTTCCACAACAACATTACAGGAGGATTACCATCTTGGTTGTTCATGAACAATACAGCATTAAAAGGACTTCGTCTAGGATATAACTGCATTTCAGGACCTTTGCAGTTGCCTGCACAACGTCATTTCAACATTACAATCTTAGATGTATCTGGCAATAGTTTACAGCGAAATCTTCCTATAAACATGAGTTCAGTCTTTCCCCATCTTAAAACCTTAATCATGTCTAAAAATTCATTTGAAGGTCAGATTCCTACTTCTTTTGGTGATATGAAATCATTAGAATCTTTAAGCCTACCAAACAATCATATCTCTGGGAATATCCCTGATTCCTTTGGTCATTTGAGCTTATTATCCTATTTGGACTTGTCCAACAACTGGTTGTCTGGAGGAATACCTGAACTTCTAGTCTCGGGTTGCCCCTTGAATGTTCTTAGATTGTCAAATAATAATTTGGAGGGGCAAGTATTTCCTCTTCTTTTCAACTTAACAAAGTTATCTGTCTTAAAACTGGGCAGTAATAACTTTGAGGGAAACATACCTGAGTTTTCATCTATCAACTCTTTTTATCCACAAATTATAGACATGAGCAACAACCATATCTCAGGCAAGCTTCCAAGATGGATGGGAAATATATCATCCTTGCAGGGGTTGTCTTTGGCCAAAAATCATTTTGAGGGTCTTTTTCCGGTAGAATTTTGTGGCCTTCATTTCCTTGAATTTCTTGACCTGTCAAGCAACTACTTATCTGGCTCTATCCCAGAATGTTTTAATCCAATTGGAATAGAATATGTTCATCTGAGCAACAATAGATTGACTGGGCCATTAACAAAAGCATTCTCTCGCTGCTCTTCTCTGGAGACACTGGACCTTACAAGAAACAATCTAACTGGTATAATTCCTGGTTGGATTGGCAGCCTACCCTTATTGAGCTTTCTTTTGTTGAAAGCTAACTACTTTGAAGGTGAAATTCCTGTTCAGTTATGTCAGTTGAACAAACTAAAGATGTTGGATCTTTCTCAAAATAATCTTTCTGGTTCTATACCTTTCTGTTTGAGTAATTTAACATTTGAGGCATTAGTTTCTTCGAATCAGATTTCTTATTGGACAACTGGAAGTGAAATAGAAATGATAGGTTCATTGGTAAAAAAGTCAAGGAAAAAGCTGGCAGAGACTGGGAAAAAGCTGGCAGAGATTGCGATCGACCATTCAAAATATGGATATGAGTTGATTAAAGTGGAGTATTGGGTAGAGTTTACAACAAAGGGTATGTCACATGTTTACAATGGAAGCATCTTTCGTTACATGTCTGGTATTGATTTATCTTGCAACCGTCTCATAGGAAGGATCCCAACTGAAATTGGATATTTGAATGAGATCCATGCGCTAAATATGTCACACAACAAGCTAACAGGACCGATTCCCACTACATTTTCAAACCTAAAGCAGATTGAAAGTTTGGACATTTCCTATAACAATTTGAGTGGGAGAATCCCTCCTCAATTGATTGAGCTAAACACTCTGGCTATGTTTTCTGTTGCATACAACAATTTATCAGGACCAACCCCTGATCAAAAAGCTCAGTTTGGAACCTTTGATGAAAGTAGCTATGAAGGAAATCCATTCCTCTGTGGAGCTCCATTACAGATCAACTGCACCAAAATTGAATCACCATCAGTTTTGACCAATGTCTCCAATTATGACAGGGAAAATAATGGTTTGATTGACATGAGTGCTTTTTACTGGAGCTTTGTGGTAACTTATGTTGTAGTATTGATGGCAATCGCAACAGTTCTGCACATAAATCCTTATTGGAGACGAGCATGGTTTTACTTCATTGAAGTCTGTATCACCTCTTGGTACTACTTTGTTCTAGACAAGCTTTGTTAGTTTTCCAAAAGAATCATCTAAACATTGTAGAGTCAAAACTCAAGAGAAACTCTGGGAATCAAAATTGTAATAGAAAATGAATATTCATTGGGTAGCCTTGAATTCAAATAATCTTAATGCAAACTTTGATATTGAAGTTTCCCACTAAGAAAGTTCATCATAGTAAAACATGCATCTACATCAATCCTACCAAATGTCACTTATTGGAAAATAATGACAACATTTACAAATTTGGCCAAAAAATGACTACTTTTACAAATAGAGGTCATGTACAAAATGTTGTAGTTTTGTTCTAAGAGAATGTGGAGGTAGCTTGATTAGGAATTAGAAATGACAATTTAAAAAAGCCATTATCAATTAATAAATTTTAAAAATAAAAACATATCATTAATATGCTAAAATAAAATTTAAATGATTAATTACAGATTATGTAACTTCAATGATTAAAGAGAAAAAAAAAATTAAAGCTCATTATATTGAGGTTCGTTGTCCCCATCTTGAGTTTGTCCCTCTCTTCTAATAAGAATATCTTGAACACTTGATAGGCACGGAACAACAGGGGCAGTAGAGGCAGCTGTGCCTTGCGCGTTGTTGCATATTGCTTCAACTTTGCTACTCGGATCCAAAGAAGTGATTTTCAGTAGATTCATCTTAATGTCGGTGCAGGGAACTATACTACTGCAGTTTAACGTAATTGCAATTTTATCAGCAGAAGTTCCTTGAAAATTCTTAAATGTTACATCACTTATTTTTACTGCAGTTTCCTGTTAATTTTAAAAAGAAAAAAATATCAATGTTTAATTAATTAAGTAAAATTAATATTT